GGGTAGTTGGTTGTTAAATTGTTGTGAACATTTTTCTGTAGGAAATAACATGGAGGAGAAAAGTGGTTCTTGTTTAAATATATCCCAGCAGTCTGCCTCTTTGAAGGAAGAACCGTCTACTCCACAGTTTGTACCTTATGGATCTGCAAGTGAAACAAACCCACAACTGGGGGTTACTGGAACTAATTTGCGGCCAATCGCTCCTTTGGCAAAGAATTATAATGGTAATTCACATAATGTAGTTGAATCATCTGGTGATACTCAGATTCGCAATGCAAGGCCTCGAGCAGATGCCCGGGGAAGAAATCAGTTACTTCCTCGGTACTGGCCTAGATTCACTGATCAAGAGCTGCAGCATATATCTGGAGAGTATCCTTCAAGTCAATATAGTTTTTCCCTTTTCTCTAACATTACAGTGTTGTATATGCTTTATATTATATTTCTTAAGGCTGTTTGTATAACGGTACTGCCTCTTCTTAAAATTTGTTGAGTCTTTATTCTTTTATACTGTACACCTTAACCATATCCAAGTAAAAATACTGTAATCACTCCACTATTCGAGAAAATGTTGAGTGCTAGTGATGCTGGACGGATCGGGCGTTTGGTGTTGCCAAAAAAATGTGCAGAGGTGCGTCTTGATGCTTTCTAAGCCTAATCTGGTATTTTGAGGCATAATGGAAAGAATCTTCTTTTCAAATTTGCCACAAAAGTTATAGGTTGACATAGTTTTTTATTTCAAATCCAATTAACATTCTGCCCCTATGTGACAGGCCTACTTTCCTCCAATTTCTCAGCCCGAAGGGTTACCTCTTAAAGTTCAGGATTCAAAAGGCAAGGAATGGATTTTTCAGTTTCGCTTCTGGCCCAACAATAATAGCAGAATGTATGTTTTGGAGGGGGTTACCCCTTGCATACAATCCATGCAATTGCTGGCCGGTGACATAGGTAATGATATTACATCACTGGAGAAATTTCTGATGAATGTTCTGGTTCTTGCTTAAACTCGGCAAGGACTCTAACAATACTCTCATAAGAAGATTTTTTTTATTATATAGGTATATATTTTTTAATTTGGTTCAGTGTTGCTAGTTTTTTGGATTCTTGCATTATAAAGTTATTTTGGCTTTTGGATTTGATGCTCTCAATGTAATTCTTGTTTTCATGCATCTTTCTCTTTCTCTCACTACGTACTACAATTAATTCATTCTGACTTTGTTCCCTCACTTTGGCACTGAAGAGTTTATCTGTTTTCTCAGTGACATTTAGTCGATTGGAACCAGAAGGGAAATTGGTTATGGGGTTCAGAAAGGCTTCAACTTCCCTACAATCTGATCAGGTTTTGCCCTGCTCAACGTTCAGTTCCTGGTGAATTTAATTTGTTTTATTGGCAATATACAGGTGATTTAAGCGGCATGTATCCAGGATGCCGTTTTTGTTTTTGGGTTGTAAATATCAGATAAATAGACACTGATATCAGACTATTTATGCACTTCAATTAAGTTGCATGATCGGCTAATGGCATTTTTTTCTCTGAGTCTGCACTTGATTCACCCGACAAACTCTGTTGCATGCATTTATCTTATTTATATAGATCTTTGTATTTGGTTTTCTGTAAGGTTCATTACTTAGGTTTCATTTTCTTTTACACTACAATGGTAGGAAAATGAGGCAAACAAGACAACCAACGGAGTTTCAGCCCATGCAGAAGTTAGTACAACAGAAACTTTATCTGGTGAAGTTTTTTCAAATTTTTGTGTAACGAGTTCAGAATCACCTAGCTTTTTATCAATGAACCAGGTTGAAGTGGCAGATCCTAGCTCATGGTCTAATGTTGATAAGTCAGGTTACATAGCAAAAGAAGCACTGGCAGATAAATATTATCTGCCTAAAAAAAGAAAGAACAGTAACTTGGGTTCTAAGAGTAAGCGTCTGAGAATTGAAAATGAAGACCTGATAGAACTGAAGGTTACATGGGAAGAAGCTCAAGGCCTGCTTCGCCCTCCTGCTAACCATGTTCCCACTGTTGTGGTGATTGAAGGCTTTGAGTTTGAGGAATATGAGGTACACGGTTCACTACTGTTCCTTTTTCAAAAGGGTTCACGTTGCCCTTTGTTGCTCATGTTTTTTGCTTGTTCCTTTGCTCTGATGTGTCTGTTCATTCCCTTTCACCACAACTATAGCATAAATTTGTTTTCTAACAGATTGCAACTACTATTGTGCCCCAAAAAAATAATGTGAGGTACAATAACATTTATATCTTGTCATGATGGAACTACACAGATAATACTTTATTTGGATGTCATTCTTTTGTATTGAGTTCCAAAACTCAGAAGGAAAATGATATTGAGTTATGGATTAACAAAACTCAAAAAGAAAACAAATGCTAGATGAATCTCCGCAAGCTTCTTTTATGTGATCAATTCCAGAGTGACGCGTGGCAATGTTACACGATATAATAATTTGATCTTGAACTTGTAGGGATTTCTAGTCTGCCATTGATTCCTCTCTCTTCCTTCTGGATGGTTGGGTCTTTACCAAACTTATTTCACGTTGTGATTACTTATATTCATTTTTGAGCTGAACGTCAGGAGTGGGCTATTTAATGGGGGCTGCCCTCACCCATTTCCCAACTGTCCCCAGCCCCAAACCCCATGTCAACTGTTGAATCAAAACTTCCTCTCTTAGCGGGAGTATAGCTTTGGCACTTAATAGGGAGTGTTACATCTTTCATTGCATCTTTGTAGTCTTTGATGTGTTACGTTCTCTAACTATGGTATCTTGTTCAATATTGGGTGAGGACCCCTCCATTATCTATACTGACATCTACTATTTCAAATTACAGGATGCTCCACTTCTTGGGAAGCCAACAATTTATGCGACTGGTAGAGCAGGGTAAGGCAATTTAGTGCTAAGATCTGTTTGTGAAGACTTCTATTTAGTTACCTAAGTGGGCTCGTTGATAAGTTTGTTGGTTAACATTTATTGGCTAACAAAATTGTGCCTCAGTGTGCTGCTGGGTGAAAATTTTCTGTTTTCTTTCCCATTTCTGGAATATTTTGAAGAGACTGAAAGGCACGTAATAAAATATCTACCAGCTTCAAATGTTTTGTTCCGTTCTTGCCAGTGAAAGGATTCAGTGGGTTCAATGCGAAGATTGTTTCAAATTTCGCAAACTGCCTATCAATGCTCTTCTACCATCAAAGTGGACTTGTTCTGAGAATTCATGGGACCCTGAAAGGTAAATGAACAGTTTCCCTAATGTGTCACCTGAGATTGATATCAGCTCCAAGGCTGTGCACGTTGATAAACTGAATTTTTAATGTTTTGAAAAATATTCGCCAGATCTTTGTGTTCAGCAGCTCAAGAATTGACAACGGAACAGATTCAAGATTTGCTACCCCGCTGTAATACAGGTATAAATTACTGGAAACAATTATCATAATCCAGAGCTCATTGAGTCACGTGTCTTAAAGAGAACAACTTGGTTGTGGGCACTACATTTCTTCTTTTTGGCCTACCCATTTCTAAATGGTTATTTTTCTTTTCCTACATGCAAGTTTTTCTCTAACATTTACACGCGCACATCCTTCCAATTTATCAAATTTGCAACTGTTTGTTTTTTATTCTGATTGAGCAGTTGCTTCTAAGAAAATGAAGGCTGCTAAACAGGACCCCGATAACATTGAAGTACTGGAGGGGCTTGACACACTTGCGAACCTAGCCATCTTGGGAGAGGGTGAGTCACTACCATCATCAGGTCAGGCCACCACAAAGCACCCCCGACATAGGCCCGGATGTTCATGTATTGTCTGCATCCAGCCTCCTAGTGGGAAGGGTCCTAAACACAAGCAAACATGCACCTGCAATGTGTGCTCAACAGTGAAGCGTCGCTTCCGTACATTAATGCTACGGCGTGAGAAGAAACAGTCAGATAAAGAAGCAGAAACTACACGCAAAAAGCAGCACAAGGGGCCATTACTGGTGGTTGATAAACCGGAGGATGACACCCTTCTATATTGTAACGCAGGAAGCACTAGTCCAAACCAGAAAATAGAGATCCTTGAACTTTCCGATGATGACCTTAACCTGACGAAATCCTCAACTTCACCTTTTAAAGGCCAAATTGACCTGAATATCCAGCCGGAGCGGGAGGATGAGCTGTCGCCTGGATCCGATTCGGGCGGCATGATGAAGTTGCTTCACGATGCCACAGCAAGGTATCTCAGGCAGCAGAGATTGTCAAGCTCTGGTGGTGGTGAAAAGTCATCAGGCAACGGGTCACCACCACGAGCTGCAAGTGAAGCAGGAGGGGGAGAACCCCTCAGCAACGGTGTAAACCTCGAAAGTAGCAATCATGATAGTGGCAACGACTGTCCTGCAACTTTATCCATCACAGCATCAGCATCAATGACTGCTACGGGATAACATTAATACATCATTCCGTGCAACGATATGTAGGTCATCAGCAATGCGGGGCTGCTGTTCTGAACCGGAGATAGTTTTGTTGTACATTCATCAACACGGGCATCGGCATCTCCACGTTTGTACATAAAGAGGTGGAAAGAAGGTAACTTCGTTGCGAAACTATAATTTGGTATGATGTTGTCCTCTCTAAATCATATAAACGGACACGAGAGCCGGTTTTTTAATAGGGAAAGCGATGAATGCAACTGAATCGTGTGGCAGGTCGAGGCAACGCAGTTTCGTTTTAGAAGCTCACCTCAATACCTTGCAGTGAGACTTTGAGGGATGTAATGTAAATGAACTCTCTTTTCCCGGCACCTATTGTTTATTTTGCGTTTATTGCTAGTAATTTTGTGCGATATCTTAATAATATGTATTTTTTGCTAGCCGCAGCTAATTAGATACCTCGTCTCCGATCTCCCGTACCTTTGTTTGACTCTCCTTCCCCTAGATTATAGATTATAGTAGTGTAAAATATCGCTTTGTCAGTCCGTTTTTTGGACGTTACAACTGAGAGGGGTAACTTTAGCCCTTTTTTTTTTTTATTTTATCCGATTCCTAGTTTGGATCTCCTTTTTGTAGATTATAGATTGTACTAGTTTAAAATATCGCTTTGTGAGTTTGTTTTTGTACGTTACAACTGATGGGGGTAACTTTAGTCTTTTTTTATCGGATTAGATTTCCGTAATTAGGTTGTTATCTTTGTGAGCTTGTTAGGGTTTACTTGTATTAGATGTGTTCCGTTTGCAAATACAAATGGTTAATTACATCTACTTGTTGCTAATCCATTTATAATTAGGGCAGGTTAATTATCCACAATTGTCTTAAACCAAACTAGTGGTAGGGAGGAGAGAAACGTACGACCAAGTCAACCATCAGATTAAGAGAATAGGATAATGACACGTGTCAACTCAGGAGCTACTGTACGGCCATCGTTAAAACGGTATTATAGGTTAATTTGGCTGGTCCTAATTATGCAATTAATCCAAAACCTCTAATGCTAATCCCACACCCCTCCTCACCAAAAATAAGGAAACTTCTTCTTTCGTCCATATCTTGGTGACAGCTTCTGCTTTTGTCACCTCCTCCTCCTTACGCACAATGTGGATGCAGAGGAGGTTGCACAAGCCCGAAACCCCCATCCAAAAGCACTTTTAAGAAAAGCACACTTCGATTTAATTTAGCTTACCTGTTATACGCATTTGGTTTCAACTTTAAGTGCTTTTCTGTATTTTCACCAACATTAGAGAGAGAAAGAAATCCCCATAGAAAAGCAGTTTTTAAGAAAAGCACCTTTGATTATACATAAGATCGAGGCAAGATGAACGACTTATTTTCGAGCTCGTTTAAGAAGTACACGGACCTGAACCAGCAGGCCTACCTCGACGACATGGAGGCCGGCAAGGAAAGTGTTAACCTCGACAAGTTCTTCGAAGACGTGGAGAAAGTGAAGGAGGACATGAGGCAGGTCGAGAGGCTGTACAAGCAGCTGCAGGACGCCAATGAGGAGAGCAAGACCGTGCACAATGCGAAAACTATGAAGGAGCTCCGGACTCGAATGGACTTGGACGTCGAGCAGGTCCTCAAAAGGGTCAAAATCATCAAGGGAAAGCTCGAAGGTTTAGAGCGTTCGAACGCAGCGCACAGGAACCTTCCCGGGTGCGGCCCTGGATCCTCTGCTGATCGAACGAGGACCTCGGTGGTTAGTGGCTTGGGGAAGAAGTTAAAGGACATGATGGATGACTTTCAAGGGTTGAGAGCCAGGATGACAGCCGAGTACAAGGAAACAATAGAACGCAGGTATTTCACAATCACCGGAGAGAAAGCGAGCGAGGATACCATCGAAACTTTGATTTCAAGCGGAGAGAGTGAGAGTTTTCTGCAGAAGGCAATTCAGGAGCAGGGGAGAGGTCAGATTATGGACACCATATCCGAAATGCAAGAGAGACACGATGCTGTGAAGGAGATCGAGAAGAATTTGATCGAGCTGCATCAGGTATTCTTGGACATGGCGGCCCTGGTCGAAGCTCAGGGCCATCAGCTCAACGACATTGAGAGCCACGTCATGCACGCGAGTTCTTTTGTGAGACGCGGCACTGAAAACCTTCAGGTAGCCAAAGAACAGCAGAAGAAATCAAGGAAGTGGACATGCATTGCAATAATTCTTGGAATAGTCCTCATCATTCTCATCCTAATTCCAATTATATTACAAGTTTTGCCTCATATGAAATAGAAAGAGGGAGATGGGGGAGACTTTGTTCATAGTTAGATCTTACGGCGAGTTCAGAAGGAAAGAAAAAAGACTGGCGATTTTGGCGCTCCTCTTTTGGTCTTCTGCACATTCATTTTGCAGTGCATACGGCTAAAAGTAGAGCGCCACAATCCCTACGCAAGAAAATAGAACCGTTTGTTCTCGAGGGGTGCGGTTTCATGTCTCTCACGCACACAATTGTGACACAAAAGTAGCAAAACTTAGAAATGGAAGTTCAGGTTCATTCACATTTGGGCATCCTCTAAGCTTTTAAATCTCTCGGGGCAACGGGACCGAAATGGCAGATGGTAAATGCATGGAATTCTCATGAAGTAACGAATTAGACATTTATTTGTAACCAATTTTATTCTCATTTTATGAATGACATTGCATTTTTAACTACTTTTTCATTGCCCCATTCCCTGCATTCTTACAATTTCTCCATGACTTAGGGCTCGTTTGAAAGTGTTTTTAAAATGACTGAAAACGCTTTAGAGAAAATGTTTTTGGGTTCCAAAAGCACTTAAGTGCTTCCAGCAAGAAGCACCAGTTATGTGTTTCTCGTAGAAAGCACTTCAAGTGTTTTTTCATGATTCACTTGCATATTTACTAAGCATTGGTTCCAAAAACATTTTCACCAAAAATACTTTAATCATTTTAAAAACACTTCTAAACCAGCCCTCACATTTTAAAGTCAAACATTTTTCGAGTTTGATGAGCCATCGATTTCGATTTGGTAATGCTTTCTCCTAAGAGCTTTTATTAGAAGCATGTTAAAATCCAAGTGCCTTATGAAGGAAGCTCCCAAGTGCTTTATAAAAGAAGCACAAAGCGAAAGAGCTTTTCGTTATCTAATTCTAAAGACACTAATTTAATAGAATTAGGCCACGGTTGGTGCACCAAAACCAAAAGTAGTAGAGAAACTAATCATTTAAACATCAAACAATTTCCTTTCACAAAATGGCCATCAAACAATACACTACTCACAAAATAGCCCGAAGATTGAGCATTTCATTTCAATCAAGCCACCGAGATCATTTACCATTAAAAATCAAGAAACTGAATTCAAGTGTAATTCCTACAATACAGTTTGGAAATCATATCTGGAATGATTGACACAAAATATCGACACTAAGCACGAAGTTCGGAACAGGCATTCCCCAAAATATACACATACACGCTGCAGAAAAGTAGTAATCCGTTAAGTGGGGGTGTCAAGTACCATAATTCGGCAAAGCTGACATAAACGAGTTGTAAGATGACTCGAGATCAAAGTGAAGCTGCCTTGACTGCTGCTCCGTCAACTCATCGGCTGCTCCCATCTTTGACAGCCTTGCAATCCATTCCTTCAACTTCACCTTTCCCAAAAAGTCCGGTGGCAGAAAGGTTAACTTCCCGAGGGACGTTGAGAGGTCCGAGAGCAGCGGGTGCACCTGATCAACTGCCACCATGTTCAGCTTCAAGGAGTCCATTGCAGTAATGAAATTCTGTGTGCATTCTGCCACAGCAGCAGCTGAGGAAGTCATGGAGGAAGCTGCAGCAGCCCGGTGCTCCACTGTGGCAGGCACCCCTGAGGTCACAAGGCGGTTTATAGCTGCTGGGCAGTCCATCTTGTATGTATCTGCAAACCGCTCGATGCTTGGGATGGTGTCCTTTAGCGTGGATGCCAATGTCTTAAAGTGGGCAATAAGTTTTTGGCATTCAGCCTCGTACGCAGAAGAAGTGATCACATCCCGAACATACGCCTTTTCAAGCTTCTCAGTGGTCTTGATAATGGCATATAGTTCGGCAAAACTATCATACATTTCTCTTTCACGCTTGTCATTGGCCAGCTTGACCTCCATTTTACTGATGTATGTGAAAGAAGTGTATCAGGTGTGCGTGTGCAGGTGGAGGATTGGAGAAGAGAATGGGACACGCGCAAAGGAGAGAAAGAACCTTATGCACTGCAGAAAGAATTGCATACAGAGAAAACAGAAGTATGAGAACTTATCCCCTCAATTGACAACCAGCAAAAGAAACGAAAGATCTCAGCATCCACAAAAATCAACACACTTAAAGGCTTGGGAAGAAAAAAATTCAATCCCTCATATCAATGAAATCTGCTACAACATTCAGCTTTACTAAGAACAATGATAATTTCTTTTCGTATCTTTTCAGGCCCGGGAACAAAGATGATTCTCATAACCTAGCATTCTATAACTTTGATCCAGACTTTGGGAAAACAATATACAGGAAAATACATTATCTTCATAAGTAAGAAGCAGATTGGAACAAAGGAACTAGCAAAAAGCCAAAAAGCCCCAGCTCAAAATCCAAATTTTTTTCTAAATCTCAACCTAGATATGAACATTTCAGCTGAAACCTAAACCCTAGACAGGCACAAATGTTCAATTCTTAATAGATAATTTACAGAAATTTAAAGAACGACAAACCCAGCAAAACATATCCAAAATTAGCAAGAGAAACACAAACCCAAAAGCAAATCAGCCTCTCACACTAAGCAAACACGGCAACAGCCATGGATGCCCATGGCCCTTTCATCTCAGGAGGCCATGACCGACGACGGAATAACCAAAAATACCAAAGAAAGCGCAGATTCCAAGCAAACCCAAATCGAAATGAACCCCAGAAATTGAAATTCCGAATTGAAAATTCAAATTGGGGGAGCTCTGAGATTTTACCTAAATAGCAGCTCGGATGGGGAAAAGTTGAGAACTTTGTTCTGCTGCAGCTGGGTTCAAGTGGGTGAGATTTAGAAATAAAAAATTGAAAAAAATATCAAAGGAAAAATCGAGGGAGGGGCCGCGCCAGGGAGTATTTGTATATGTGTCTCTCCGAGAAGAAGAGGAGAGAGAAAGTCTGATGTTACGGCACACAGAGGGGAGAGAGAGAGAGAAGAGAAGACAAAAGGAGAGAGAGAGGGGTTGCGTGCGCGTAGCGTGTATGATTGCTGCTGCTTACGGTGTAGCAGTTGGAAAGCGACAAGGCCTTCCATCTTCTTTTTCTCCGTTCTCTCAGACCGCGTTATTTTACGTCACTCGCGCTAAAATATTATCATCATGGGCTTTTAAGGCCCACTTATAGATTTATGGGCCTGGGTTTCATGGCCCGCCAATACTTGTGCTCTTTATTATAGGCACAAGGGCTTCTTGGGGAAACTACTATGTCGGAAAAAAAAAGTGCTTTCTATTAACGAATAGCGTTTTCGACTCACATAAGCACTTTTTAAAAAAGCAATTGTCAGATACCCCTTCATAAAACACTTTCAGATTTTTTCATGAAAAACTTAAATTTTTAACAAATTCTTCGACAAAGTCTATTGATTATAAATACCGATAAATTTTGTATAAGAAAACTCGTTTGGATATGTTTTTGAAGAGTTAAAAGCATTTCCGAACTTTCATTTTGAAACCCTTACGCTTTTAATTTAGACCCGGTTGCAAGTTAAACCAAAGATTTTATCTCGTCCGTCCATTTTAAGCAAACTGTTCTTGTTAAAATGTGTATTTAGTGACGGGAATTAGATAAAAAATTTCCGATACCCGGTTACAAAAAGATTCCGATCTGTTCGCGGCTTTCAACCCTCACACAATTTGATACATTTAGGGTTTTATCCAACCCCAAAATCCCAGTCCATGCAACATTGAAACTTCAAAATCCCCAAAAATTCGAACTTCCCGGCATTGTTTCGGTAGGGTTTAGGGGTTTTCCAGGCATTACCAACTCCTACCTCTGCCAATTCACTCCCCCATGGCGATTTCTCAGGAGTTGTACCCATCGCAAGACGACCTCCTCTACGAAGAGGAGCTTCTCCGCAACCCCTTCAGCCTGAAGCTATGGTGGCGCTACCTGATTGCTCGAGCCGAATCTCCGTTCAAAAAGCGCTTCATAATCTACGAGCGAGCCCTCAAGGCTTTGCCCGGAAGCTACAAGCTCTGGTACGCTTACCTCCGCGAACGGCTCGAGCTCGTTCGGAACTTGCCCATCACTCACTCGCAGTACGAAACCCTAATTAACACGTTTGAACGAGCTCTGGTGACGATGCACAAGATGCCCAGGATTTGGATTATGTACTTGCAGACTCTGACGGAGCAGAAATTGGTCACCAAGACCCGCCGGACCTTCGACAGAGCGCTGTGTGCGCTTCCTGTGACGCAGCACGACCGCATTTGGGAGCCCTACCTGATGTTTGTGAGCCAAAAGGGCATCCCAATCGAGACCTCGCTTCGGGTTTATCGCAGGTATTTGAAATATGACCCTACCCATATTGAAGATTTCATCGAGTTCTTGATTAATTCTAGTCTTTGGCAAGAGGCTGCCGAGAGGCTTGCTTCGGTGTTGAATGATGATAAGTTTTACTCAATAAAGGGGAAAACGAAACATAGGCTGTGGTTGGAATTGTGTGATTTGCTTACTAAGCATGCCACTGAGGTTTCAGGCCTCAATGTAGACGCTATAATTAGAGGTGGGATTAGGAAGTTTACGGACGAGGTGGGGCGGTTGTGGACCTCTCTTGCGGACTATTACATTAGGAGGAATTTGCATGAGAAGGCGAGGGATATATTCGAGGAAGGTATGACTACTGTGGTAACGGTGAGAGATTTTAGTGTGATTTTTGATTCGTATGCTCATTTTGAAGAGATTGTGCTTGCTCATAAGATGGAAACTGCTGATTTGAGTGATGATGAGGAGGACGAAGAAAATGGGGTGGCAGAGGATAGAAATGAGGAGGAAGAAGATCTTCGAATGGACATTAACTTGTCTGTGGCTGAGCTTGAGAAGAAAATGCTTGATGGGTTTTGGCTACATGATGATAAGGATGTAGATTTGAGATTAGCTCGATTGGACCATCTCATGGATAGAAGACCTATACTGGCAAATAGTGTTCTTTTACGACAAAATCCTCATAATGTAGAGCAGTGGCACCGGAGAGTGAAGCTATACGAGGGCAATCCCACGAAGCAGATACTTACATACACTGAAGCTGTGAGGACAATTGATCCAATGAAAGCAGTTGGGAAGCCTCACACATTGTGGGTTGCTTTTGCTAAGTTGTACGAGAACCACAATGATATTGTCAATGCCAGAGTGATTTTTGATAAAGCAGTGCAGGTGAATTACAAGACCGTGGATAATTTGGCTAGTCTTTGGTGTGAGTGGGCAGAAATGGAACTGAGGCATAAGAATTTCAAGGGAGCACTGGAACTGATGAGGCGGGCTACTGCAGAGCCATCTGTTGAGGTGAAACGAAGAGGTAATGTTCATCCTTCTTTGGTTTGTTGGATAATTTTCTATGTGTTGGAAGTTCATAAAAAAACTTTAGAGAGCTTTTTATTCACTTATTATTCTGTTTCAATAAATCTCAAACATAGATACAATTCCTGAAATATCCTACACCTGGTATCTTGCCTGTACCTCTTATGCTGCTTAATTTTGTATCTATTTTGTAACCAGAATTTTGTTTCCAATTTGAAGATTACCTTGATTCGATTTGATTTGTTTGGCATTGTCTCTATTATTATTATTATTGTTATTCCAAATACCGTTTTCAAGACCTATAATTCTGCCAGACTTCCAAGCGCCTTCGCAAATGTAATTATATTAAAAGAAATATGCCTCTATGCCCTATTCAGTTTCCATGTTCTTGTCTTTTTTCTTTTCCATTCTTATTTTGCTTTTTTTTTTTTTTTTTTTGTGTGTTTGGTTTGATCCTGTGTGTGCACTAGTCTTTTGGTTTGTAACAGCCCCCATCCATCGAGTTGTGACCTTTCTATTATTATTTTTTTATTTTAATTGTTGAAAAGAAAAGGAAGTTAAATAGTTAGGTTAGTCATATGGGTTATGTGGGAGCCATAACTAGACTTTGGACTCTTGGCTTGTGCTCTTGCAGTGGCTGCTGATGGGAATGCGCCGGTTCAGATGAAGCTGCATAAGTGCTTGAGAATTTGGGCATTTTATGTAGACTTGGAGGAGAGCCTGGGTAAATTAGAGTCCACTCGAGCTGTTTACGAGAGGATATTGGATTTGAAAATAGCTACACCGCAGATCATAATCAATTATGCATCGCTTCTTGAGGTATGGCATTACACCTGTTGCTTTTTTCTTGGCAAATTCACTTTGAAGTATCTTATGTTTATAATTTGACTGCACAGGAGCATAAATACTTTGAAGATGCATTCAAGGTTTATCAAAAAGGTACTAAGATATTCAAGTATCCACATGTCAAAGACATATGGATTACATATCTTTCCAAATTTGTAAAGAGATATGGGAAGAAAGAACTGGAACGCGCAAGAGAGCTATTTGAGGAGGCTGTTCAAGCGGTACAGGCCTTCTATCCCTTTCGACTTTAGTCTGGAATACTCTGGATATATAAGTTACTGTGGTAATTTTAAAGCACTAAATTTTTTTATGTCGCATTCCTTTTCAACATTTTTTACTTTGGTAATGATTGTGTTCATATCTGATTAGCAATCATATGGTTCATTTTTATAGATTCTGTCTTATCATATCGTTCTTGTGTCATACTATCCATTTTTTAAAGTGAAACTCGACAAGCCATTGAGTAATAATTAAGGTTAATTTATTTTGATGTATTATATTCTATTTTTTTATTTTTTATGTCTGCATGTGGTTTACTTTTCATTGACTATCAATGGGGGCCTGCATCTTGGTGTCTTCTTACTTACTGTGATTATATATGTGCACTCTGTCATCTAGTGAATGGAATATAACATGAATATTATTACCCAAGTTGCTTTTGAAGTGCGTAAGGACCTCCTCTTGGTCCAGCTGTCAAAGTTTCTCACAATTGATTGCACAGAGCCTTTATGTTTTTCGTTTCAAGAGTTCTCCCTCTGGTTTACAGGTGGTCTGTATGTCACCACTCTGTTTGTGTGTATAAATTTGTGTGGGTTTCGTATTTTTTGAAATCATTTCAGGTTTGAGTTCAATATGCTAGAATTTTGCCATTTTGGTTGTTATTTATCTTATACTAACCTTAACATGGTCTATCAGGCTCCTGCCGATGCGAAGAAACCTTTGTATCTTCAATATGCAAAGCTGGAGGAGGATTATGGTCTATCAAAGCGGGCAATGAAGGTCTATGATGAAGCAACTAAGGCTGTTCCAAACCATGAGAAACTGGGCATGTATGAAATCTACATTGCTCGTGCTACAGAGATATTTGGCGTCCCGAAGACGAGGGAAATATACCAGCAGGCCATAGACTCTGGTCTTCCAGACAAAGATGTGAAGACAATGTGCTTTAAAGTTTGCTGAGCTTGAGAAGAGTTTGGGAGAAATCGATCGTGCTCGGGCAGTGTATACATATGCTTCACAGTTTTCCGATCCACGATCTGATGTGGACTTCTGGAACAAATGGCATGAGTTTGAGGTGCAACATGGAAATGAAGATACCTTTCGAGAGATGCTTCGAATTAAACGAAGTGTTTCTGCAAGCTATAGTCAGGTAAGCTCATTAGTTTTATATCTGTTTTTGTCTAAAACGTTTAGTACCTTCATTTTTTTTTCTCCAGCAAATTAGGTAGGTGTTTTATTAGGGTCTCAGTGAAATAGTTCCTGAATTGCTCATTTAAATTCCCATTTTTTTTCTTTCTTCAGACCCACTTTATTCTACCTGAGTATATGATGCAAAAGGATCAGAAGCTGTACA